GGGGGGGGGGGGGGGGGGGGGGGGGGGGGGGGGGGGGGGGACACTCAGGTACCTGGCAAATTGAGAGGTTCTGGGAAGAGGCTGGGATCAGGGGCAAGGCTGCACATGGCAGCCCCATCAGGAAGGGTTTTAAGGTTCTCACCCACCTCTAGACTGCTATCCACCAACTGGAGAAGGCTTGGACCTCTTTCCCTTCAAGACCAAAAATGTATAGTCTTTGATCCTATTCTCAATTCACCCCCAGTCCTCTCTCTTCTCATTCTACAAGATAGATTCAAAGAGAGGTGGCTTTAGGAAAAAAATGTCAAGGGGGAAGTCCTAGGTGGTTTCCCTCGTGATTCAAGGGGCAGCAGTCATATGGGCTCCAGAGTCAGAAAAAGCTGCCTGTCTTTGATATTCCACTCAAAGCTTAATATTAATATAATCACATTTTCATTTTGATGTAAAGAACCTTTTTTATGCTCTTAATTTTTTCAACATCAAAGACTCCTGCTTCACCCTAGGTCACATCCCTGTCAGTCAAGGTCATGATGAAAAGCTGCTAGTAGCATTTGCTCTTCTGTCTGGAAACTGCCTCCTGAGGTTGGTGGGAATGGTATAGATCACACAATCCCAGAACAAGATGCAGAGCTTTGATAAAAGTCAACATGGACTTACCTATTCACAAACATCCTGAAGTGCAAAATGAGCTATGGCTAGATCACTTGCCCAAGCAGGTACTTTGACCTCCTGGCCTGTGCTGGCTTGGGTATCACTGTTTATTCCAGGAATAAGGGTACAGAATTTCTGTGGCAAGGAAACCACAATAAAAACATAAAACACATAAAAACAAAAGAATGGGTCTTGCTTAATAGCTGATGTTAACTCCCTGTACAGTAATTTCTTCTCTAGGATGAAGTTTATGGCTATTTAACTCCCTTTCTACCCATGTATAATTCCATTTTCTGTCTTTTTCATTATATGAGCAACAACAAAACAACAACAACAAAATAACCATTTCTCTCATCTGGAAAATACATAGTCTTGGATGTCTTAAAAAATAGTTTTGGTAGGTTTCAACATTTTTGGTGAGAAAGAAGTTGTAGGATCTTGCCACAACAGGATCAAAGTTAAGATCGATAGTCACACCAGCAGTGTGGAAAGACCAAGGCTTGAATCCTCTCAAGGCAATTGTCATAAAAGATCTTTCTCCTTTCACAAGTTTATATACTTGGATTAGAAAGCTTGAAATCTCCACTTTTAAAAACATTTGGAAAATATGGGTATTTTTTTCTGGTCTTGTAATGGCATCATTTTGGACCTCTACAAGAAACAATGATCAAATACACCTGTAGTGTTCCCTTAAACAGTTTTTCATTGTTCCTGTGGCTTAACAAAGGACTCCCTTAAGAAGGCACGGGGTGCTCACCGCAATGACCTCAGAAAGAGATGAGCAAAACAAACGTTTGGTGACATATCTTGCTTCAAGAACTTTCTGCCGCACTAGTGTTGCAAAGGACGATACAAGAAAATGCTTGCTTGCTGCCGTCATTCTCACATGGCTCTGTATTAGTTAGTGGTCACACTGGCTTCCTTCTGACGCAATCTTTCTTTCTGTTGTTTAAGGAAAAAATAGTTTATCATCATTCCGTGTTCTAAATTTTCATCTTTCTCAAACTTTGAAAAATTTCTCCAAGTTTTGGTCTAGAATGATGGGTAGAGTTGGACTCAAGGCTCTAGAAATGAGAGTCATTTCATCCTTCTTTTCTGAAATCCTGTTACCTGCTCCTCCCAATCTATTCCCCTTACTTGCTAAAAGCAAACAACAAAACCAGCTCATCAATCAATGACACCCATCTAAAACACTGACCTTTACCATGGGCGGCTGGTCTGTTCGCTTCCTCTGTGACAAAGATCCTAACTTTGCAGCATTACTCAAAGATTCCTTCTACCCCCATGCTCAGTCTACTAATGGAATTAGGAAATGCTTAAGAAATAGTTTCTGGGGAATCTAAATAGGAAAAAAATCACTGTTTCCCCAATCGAATACATCTGCATATGGTCAAGATGGTGGGACTGAACAAGGGCGATGCAAAATGGAAGAGGAGCAGACGTAATCCATGCGGGATGGAGAAAACTTCCGTTTTGCCATGATGTTCTGCTCTGCTCTCCCTGAGCTTCCTGCCCAGTGACAACCTTCTGAAGATGAAGGTCATGAAGGTCTGCTGGCAAAATATATATACAGATAAGAATACAAAATAGAAATGAGGATCCTCACCGTTTCTAGGACTTTAGAGGAATAAAATATTTAGCATACTAAGAATGGGTGTATCTGCTCTTTGGGAGGGCACATAAAAGGCTAAAAAAAGAAATGGAAGAGGTATATTCCTTTGCACAGAGATCTTTGTAAACAGATCCTCAGCTGCTTGTCATCTATGAGATGTGATACACTGAGCTACTAGGGTGGCCTACATATAATCATCAAGTCGATGATTTCTAAACACCCATCCTGAGTCTGGATCCCATCTCTGACTTGTGAACTTGAATCAGGAATCAGTTTCCAAGCTCTTCCCAAATTCCCAAATAAACAACAACAAAATAAACCACCCTAACAAGTTGAGGATTGCAACTGGGAGCTAGCTCACTGTGGAGGTCACCTATTTAAAAAAAAAAAAGTCACAGTAACCCCACTGTTTCCTCTTTGTCTCCAGGGCTGAATTCATTCTGCGCCCCTGGAAATAAGATTTGGCTGCAAAAGTTAGGATAGAGGCCCAAGTAAGGGGGCTGGGGGAAAGGAGTGTAGGCTGACCAACGAGGAAGACAAAACTCAGGGTGGAAGCCATTGTCACCGAAAATCGTACAAGTGAATGTACTGGACACACCGCCAAAGGGGCACAGAGGATGGGTCCATTCAGGAGCTGTGCACACTAACCGCAGCTTTCCCTGCTCCAGCTGTAGGACACCGACTTCTCCACACTTCACTCAACATTCATTTAGCTGCTGAGGGGGCTGTTCTGAGTGAGAGACACCCCAGCCAATCAACAGAAAAAAAAAAAAAATCTCACTTCACTACTTAAACTTCATTTAGATGGTCAGAAGGTTGAAAGTAGCTGGCAAATGGTCCTCAAAACTCAAAAGGATAAGAATAAATAGCTGTGGGACACCAGGGCACAGGGGAGGTAGGGTCTGAAAATCAGCTGAGGAGAGCGAAGGCCCCCTTATCACTCACTGCTGTTCTCCAGGGCAGGGCCAACTAATTCTGCCAAAATTTGTAATAACGAAAAACAGCCAACATTTTTAAGTTCTTATTATATGCCACTTTCTATTTCTCTCCATTTCCTCAAAATAATCCTAAAGTAAAGGTGGTATTATTTCTCTCATTTCCCAAAAGAAGCAAAGTAATTTTACGAAGGTTTTACAACTAGTAAGTGGCTAAGCTGGGATCTGAACCCCAACATCTTGGGTTCCTAACCATTTAGCTCTACTATTGTCTCTAATGTATAGGTAGAGCTTCACTGTGAACCTTCCCAATGGGAAGGTGAAGGACAACTTCCCCTTTCGGGTGCAAAGGCCAACTAGTCTCTAAGTGTCCAGCTCCTGGAGAGACATCAGGAGACCAAGAGCCTGGGCTTGGTTTCTGTTACTCATTTTTGAAGTGATCCTAGGTAGGCTGTATCTTTCTGCATCTGGGTTTTCCCAGTTATCTAAAGAGTATAATCTCTACCCCTTTCTTAAATGCTCAACCAGGTAGGGAGAAAGGTGCTCTGAGATAAGCAGATGCCGGTCTGGGGTGTGGAAGGGTGTGACATGGCAAGTGACTAAATTTGCCTGATCAGGAAATGATCTGTGTTGGGTTTGCTGGGAGAACGCAGGAAGTCCAGGAAGTCGGGTTTTGTTCCTCACTCCCTTTTTACCTAGGCTACTCTGAGAATCTGGATACTACTCATTCCTCTGAGTTTTATCCTTTAAATTCAGACACACTCCCAGATGCACCTCAGTTATAATGAAAAATCTTGAGGTTATGTTGAAACATGTGTCTCACCAGACTAGCCGTGGGATTGATTTTCTTTGTCTCCACTTTCTTCTCTGATGTCAGCTTGCTGACTGATTCCTGAGCCATTTTCAATCTGAAATTGAAACGGAGTGGGGAGGGGAGAGAAGCAGCAGAGAAAGAGAGAGAGAGAGAGAGGAAGAGGCCAGGTTAAACAGTACCCAAATGCTTTTGAATTAACCAACTGGCAGTGCGGAAATACAATGTATGTGCCTTTAAGTGATCAAATTTGAACTCTAATCAGGTGTGAAGGCATAATTTCTAGGTTATCAAAACTGAATTTCCTTTGCTGACTGAGGGACTCCCCTAGATGACCTCAGGTGACCAACGCAGGAGCTTCTTCCGATCTATGGAATGCTACGTGCCCTTGCTTTAGTCTCAGTGAACACTTAAAGCTCTCTGGCTTGTGATCCACTCAGCAGATAATAGAGAGACAATTTTGAAAATGGAGCTTTGAGGAAGCATATGAAAACTACAAATATTAAAATACGCTGATTCATATCAATAGAGTGAAAAGACATCCCACAAGATGGGAGACAATCTTTGTAAATCATATGTCCGATATGGGATGTGTATTCAGAACATGGGAAGAACTCTCATAACTCAAATCAAAAGACAAACTGCCCAATGAAAAAATGGGCCAAAGATGACATACAGAAGGCTAATAAGCCTATTAAAGATGCCCAACCTCGGGGCACCTGGGTGGCTAAGTAGGTTAAGCCTCTGCCTTCGGCTCAGGTCACGATCTTAGGGTCCTGGGATCGAGTCCCACATCGGGCTCTCTGCTCAACGGGGAGCTTGCTTCCCCCTCCTCCTCTGCCTGCCTCTCTGCCTACTTGTGATCTCTCTCTCTGTCAAATAAATAAATAAAAAATATTTTTAAAAAAATGCCCAACCTCATCAGTCATGAAGTCAATACTCATTTAAGCTGCAAGATGACACTACGTAGCATGGCTGAAACTAAAAAGAAAGATAGTAACAAGTGTTGCAGGTACAGATGTGGGTGAAACTGGAACCCTCATACCTTGCTTAGGGGATTATATAAAATGGTATAGTTACTTTAGCAGTGTCTCAAAACATTAAGCACAGCTATCATATGACCCAGCAATTCCATGGCTAGTTCTATAAATATATAGGCATATCCAAGAAAATGAAAATATACAGTCATACCAAAGTTTTCATAGAGGTTTACAGCAACATTATTCATAACTGCCAAGAGAAGGAACAATGGCAATGGATAAACTAAATGTGGTCTATCCGCACAGTGGAATATTACTGGGCCGTGAAAAAGAACAAAGAGCTGATACACGCTACAGCATGGAAGAAAATTTACATAAGATTTTCATGAAAATACATGAAAATCTACACAAGATTGCGTTGCTAAGAACTGTCCAGAATAGGCAAATCTACAGAGATTGAATAGGGGGCTGGGGTGAGGGGGGAATGACTGCTAATGGGTAGAGGGGTTTCTTCTAGAATTGGGTAGCGATGATGGTGGCACATCCTGGTGAAACCACTGAGTTGTACACTTTAAAAGGGCACACTTCATAGTATATGAATTATAGTATCAGATTTGCACATCCAATAGTTAGACAATATCAACTCTTCTTGAGGTTATGGGGAAATGGAACGGAACAGTTCATTATGGAGGAGTGTAGATTGGCAGAGCTGGCTTTGGCAATATCAGGTGCCACCGAGAAAATTCACACTTTATGGGCCATCAGTTCCTCTTCTAGGGAGAAAACCAAAAGAAACCTACATACGCAGACACAGGGCGTTCTCTGGGGCAATATATGCAATAACAGAAAATTGGAAGCAACCTAATGATTATGATCCTTAGAATAATGCATAGATGACAATAGCAAATAATACCAGCCAACATTTATTGGGTGCTTACTCAGTGCCAGGCACGGTTCAGTCTGCTTTATTTGAGTTCAACCATTTAATTCTCACCCAGCCTGGTGAGATGGAAAGTTTCGATATTGGTATTTTCCGGGTCCTAACCCCCTTACAGTGCTGCTTATATACTATACTCATTTAATGGAATATGGTATAACTGTGAAAAGGAATGAACTAGATTTATAAACCCAACAATTACAAATACCAGAAACCTGGTATTGAGAGACGGAAGAATTCTATAGAATGATACATTGAAGAGGCCATCTAGTATGGTGGTCAAGAGTTCGGGCTCCAGAGCCTGATGGTGGGATTAATTCTTAGCCCCACCACTTATGGGCTGTGGGACCCTTGGCAAGTAACCTTTAATAATAATCATGCTACTCCATGGAGTCATTGAAAGGACAGAGACTATCTCTACCTCAGCTCCAGGCACAGTTTAATCACCTACTGTAGGTTTCCTACTGTTGTTACTGGGCATGTGGAACATATATAAACAGTATTCACAAAACAATATTGTTCATGGACGAGTGCAAGTTGTATAAACACACATAAAAACACCTACCTATATTTATGTAGAGACTGGAAAGATACTCACTAGTTTCATGATAGAGCTTATCATTAGAAAAATGGAAGTAGAGAATGAATGGGGTCAAACAGAATTTCACTTTTACCTATAATACTTATTTTTTTATTATAAAATATTGAATATGTAGCAGAATGTTAACGGTTAATTCTAAGTGGTGGCACTATGTATGTGTTACATTACCCTCTGTACATTTATTTTCAAATTTTTTTTCAAAAATACTTTCAAATGGGATTGGGAGGGAGACAAACCATAAGTGACTCTTAATCTCACAAAACAAACTGAGGGTTAATGGGGGGAGGGGGGTTGGGGGGGTGGGATTATGGACATTGGGGAGGGTATGTGCTATGGTGAGTGCTGTGAAGTGTGTAAACTTGGCGATTCACAGACCTGTACCCCTGGGGATAAAAATATATGTTTATAAAAAATAAAATTAAAAAAAAAACTTTCAAAATATTAAAGATCCAGCAACCCAGACCTTAAACAACAACAACAACAACAACAACAACACACTTTTGCTTTAGGGTCTCAAATGAAAATCTTTTGCCCAATATCAATCATATACTTGCTTAATATCGAAGAAGTAGTTGAGTGCCTTACTTCTTCACTTAGCTAATTTTACCCAATTTACTTAAAACCCATGTTTAGTAATCCAATCTCCCTGCCCACATGCACAAGTTACAATGAATTCAACATGCTGACTTGCATATCAGAAACAAAATAAAAATGAGACAAAGATGAGTAATGATTTATATAACCTAAGAAATACATCTTCAGAGCTGCCTGGAGAATGGGCGCTTCTCAACACTGACACAGGTCTGAGTGTATACACCACTCAATGTTTCTAGACATTTCCATTTGCAGCAATCACCATGACTATACTCGCACAAGAAGGGAATGCACCCAAAGGATCCAATCCAGGTCAGACAACACTGGACCCTCTGACTATTGAGGGATTTGCAAACCAAGATGATGGTGCAGTAGATGAGACTACAGTTTGCAGAATCACCTCTTCTTGGCTTCTCTCCAGCAAGATGTGTTTTCAAAAAACATACCTGTCAGTGACTGTTCAATCCCAATTCCAATGAAATGGTCTGGAGTTACTATTTCCCTCCAGACCTCCTTATTTTTAGGGAGTTTTTGGTCGGGGGTCATCTTTAGCTTCAGTAGTTCCTTTTCCCCTAAGAATTCTGGTCTCTCATTTCGAAGTTGGTCGTAGACCGTGCTCCTGCTCAGCACTGCCTTTCTTGGATTCTCACATCCCTTGGCAGCCCTGGTGCCACTCTCCTTGTTCTCTGCATGTCAGAGTGAGGCCAGTGGTTGGGGATGTGGAGGGAGAGGGGAGGGGAGCCAACCTAAGGTCCTGTTTCCACAGCAAACCTTTTGCTACTGGTCAGTGATGGCTTTGCAGACTACAGACAGTCACAGACACCCCAGAGTTGCCAGGACAGCTCTGATCCCAGGGACTCCACCCTGCTCTTCTTCAAACTTTCTCCTTCCATTTTATCATCTCCCTTTCACAGGGTGCTCTTAGAAGGCACAGCAGGTGGGGAGAAGGTACAGCTTGGTGGGACCAAGTTTCAGCATCAGTTAAGACTTGATTCTAACTCTTGCCAGTTATTAGAAGATTTGGAGCAACTTAGTCAACTTTTCTAAATTTCAGTTTTCCTATTTATAAAATGGAGGTTAATGTCAACCACAAGGTATTACAAGGAAGATTAAATGAATTAATATATACAAAATGGTTAGTATACCAGGTGTGTAGCAAGTGGTCAATAAGGAGTAACCATTATGGAATCTTCCATCGCAGAGGTAAAGAACTCCTTAAGAATGCATGACAAGAGTTTCTGACAACAAATAGAGTAAGTGGGGCTATTAGCAAAGTACTCTCTTGCAGGAATATCATTAAGATGTGTCCTGAAAGCAAACCGGAGAATTCACTTTAATTTTTCAATTCTGAACACAGATTCTAAAAGTCCCATCTAGGGACGCCTGGGTGGTGGCTCAGTCAGTTGAGTGTCTGCCTTTGGTTCAGGTCATGATTCCAGAGTCCTGGGATCAATCTCACATTGGGCTCCCTGCTCAGTGGGAAGCCTGCTTCTCCCTCTGCCTGCCGCTCCCCCTTCTTATGCTCTCTCTCTGAGACAAAAAAATAAACAAAATCTTAAAAAAAAAAAGTAGAAGCTATATCTAGAAGATGAACTTTGGTATAGGTATGGCAAAATATCTCAACCAAGTAAAATAAGAGAAGCTTCAGGCATACCTTGGAGACATTGTGGGTTTAGTTCCACGCCACTGTAATAAAGCCAATATTGCAATAAAGAGAGTCAAATGGGTTTTTTGGTTTCACAGTGCATATAAAAGTTATATTTATACTATATTGTAGTCTACTGAGTGATAATGTTATGTCTAAAAAATATACATACCTTATTTAAAAAATACCTTACTGCTAAAACATGCTAACCATCATCTGAGCTTTTGGAGAGTTGTAATCTTTGTGTTGGTAGAGGGTCTTGCCTAGATGTTCATGGCTACTGACTGACCAGGGTTAAGGTCGCTATGGCAATTTCTTACAATAAGACAGCTGTAAAGTT